AAGGTCGACCCCCACACGGTGACGAGTGAGGACTTGACTGCGTCGATAGACGCGTTGACAAAGAGGCTGAGTGACATGCCTGGATGGTCGGGCAACTTGCTTGACCCTGCAAAGTCTGCTGAACTGGTTGCGGCAAGATGGGGCGGGAAGGCGAGCTATGACAAGCCTGAAGCTCCTCTTACTGAGGCCGGGATGAAGAGTGCGACACCGGAGGATCGAGCTTATGCCCTATCGCAGCTGAATGAGATGGTGAATTTCCACAAGAAGCACCTATGCTCTGGGCGAGGAGCGCCAATGGTCAGCGCGACTGCTCCCAGCGGGCCGTTTGCGCCCGATCAGGTTGACGCAAGCAGGAAGTTCCGTCCGAGCGAAGCGGCAAGCAAGATGACATACAACCTCGTGATCATGGACGGAAAGAAGGACTATCTCGCCGATAGGCAGGAGGTCAGTCCAAATCTGCGGGCTACTGGGGTTGTGCCTGATGAGGCTGTCACTTGTCAGATCGTGGTCCCAGCGAAGACAAGGTTGAGCGAGTACGTTCCGAACTACGAGGAGACCGCGGCCACCGTCGCAGGACGGGAGGCGGCTCAAGAGTTGATGAAGCTGCTCTCGTGCGACTTTGAAGGATTGGTCATCAACTCGAAAAGAGTCTCGGAGTTATTCGAGGAAAAGGTGCTGAAGGAAACTGGACGAGAGGCTGGAAACTGGGTGAGCAGTGACCAGGCCATCTGGTTCCTGAGAGAGGTCACGGGCATGGAGAACGCCGAGATGTCGTGGCAGTTCTTTTTTCCGACGATCAAAGCTTTCCCGATAGGGCAAGTTGAGACAATGCTCATGATCATGTATGATGGAGATGGTGTCCTCCTCAGGGAGTGCACTAGGTTAGTGGCCGTTAGGTACACGCGAATCGGACGAGACATGAGTTTCAGTGCCGTTAGGCAAAGATATACTCAAGAGGATGCACCTGCCGGGTCTCTGATGTACGAGATGAACTCCCTATGGTGGGGTATGTCATCATGAAGTTCTTGGACTTCAGGAAGGCAGTCCAGCTCCAAAAGGTGAGGCGGAACGGAAAAGCCTTGATCGAGATATTGATCACGAGGCCCGATATGTACGAGACCATTGGGGATGGAAGGCTGGATGAAGGCCTGGTTCCAATTGTGGAAACTATGACGCCGAACGCCGAGGTATCGCCATCGTGGTACGTCAGGGACAGGCTGCGGAACTACGCAGGTAGGTACGTGGTGGTCATAGTGGACCTTCGGGTACATTGGTCACTGGTTGGACCTGTGTTTCTGACAAGGAGAAAGATCCTTGCTGTTCGGAACGAGATCCACATGGGTGCGTGGAAGGCTGCGTACATGTTCGATGATTACACGATAGTGTATCATCGGGCACTATGGTGACCTCACTCCCGATAGGGGGGAGCACAAGCGGTCGCGTGAAGAAGTCAGGTTGAATGTGACCACCACCTTCTGTTTGAGGTGCGCAGAAATGACGCCAAATAGGATGCATTTATGCCCTGGGTGTGCGCTTCCGGTGTTCTACCCAAACTTCATCCCCAACGCGGACGAAGATGACTTCGAGAGGTGCGGCATCATCCCGGACTGGGTGAAGAGTATGAGACAGTTCAAGCCCAAGAGGATCCCAACCAAAGTGGTCGGGGTTATCAAGAGGAATTTAATTTCCTATTCGATGGCGTCTGACCTGAGGATGACGGTGCAGAGCGGCATAAGACTGCCACCCTATCTTGGTGAGGACAAGGGAGGAGTCGATGCGGCGTGGGATGAACTGGCGAAGGTGCTCTTTCAGTTCTCCTATGTGTCGGGGATTTCGGCCTCAGATGCGTTCGTGGAGAAGTGGGTGGCGAAGCACCTCATCAAGACCAATCAAGTCGATAGATTTGATTCGGTCACTGAGTATTTTCGAGCGAATCCGATACATGCGGCTCAGTGGGGTAGACGTATGACGACTTCCGTTAGGAAGTTCGCCCGTCACGACACGTACTTGTCCTTCTATATCCCGATGGTGTACGTGATTGGTGCAGCGGCGGGTCATCTGACTCCCTTGTATCCGACCCACCGGAAGGACGTGGACATCCTGGCCAGTCATGCATTGATCGCAGACCTCAGGAGGTACTTGGTCTCAGCGACAGGATACGATGAGAAGAGGAGATTGAGGGAAGGCGATCAACGCTGGGCAATCAGAGCCTCCTGCCCCATTCCGTGACCCATTCGTCTACGTTAGTGACGAGAGGGTGAGGACGGTTATTGATGGTCGTCAACCGGAGCCACTGGAGGAACGTTGAAGAGCTCCAGTCGGTGCATCATGCGGCGCAGGGTCCTGGTCCTAAGCAGGAGCCGATCGTCAAGGGCGGAAAAGGGAAAGGGAAGAAAGGAGAGAAGGGCGGTAAGGGCGGTAGTCCTTCCGGCCCACCGCCAAAGTCAGGTGAAGTGCCAGAGAAAGGGTCTGGTAAGGGCGATAGTCCTTCTGTCCCACAGGCAAAAGCAAAGGCTGATACTGGGCCGGCTCCGATGGAGGTTGATGCAACTGCGGCTCAACCAAAGAAGACCTGGGTCGCGATAGCGGTCGAAGGAGCCCGGCCGAGTGCGAAGGCTAAGATGACTCCGGTCCCAAAGGCCGAGCCAAAGGGGAAGGCAGCTTCGATTTCTGAGGCAAAGGGTGCTTCGGCCCCAAAGGCTGAGGCTAAGGAGACGAAGCAGACTGAACCGAAGGTTGAGGTCAAGAAGGAGAAGGTAGGCGGAAATGACGCTCCTGGCGATAGCCGGGGGTTGGCCGAAGGGCAGAGGAGAGAAAGGAAATCCCGTTGGGATCCCGACGAGACTGTGAAGGAGTCGACAAAGCGGGAGGCCTCAACGAGGCCTGACGACGTCGACAGCAGGCCAGGTGCGGCGGCGAGAGAAGCTAGTGGAGATGATCTTCACTCCGCGCTTGGCAGGTCTTCGGCAAAGGACGCGGTAGCGCCTTTGACGGCCCCCAAGGCGATGGCAAAGAAGCCTGAAGGGGGCGAGATCAGGTTGCAGTCGGCGGAGCGAGCAGCTGCGAGCTCGGTGGAGGGTCACTTCCTGGTGTTGCCGGAGAGTTCGGTGGTGAACGCTTTCCTGACGATGTCACCCGATAGGGTGCTGAATAAGCAGGTCAGAGATTTCATCAGGAATGGTGAGAATGCTTCGGCGCTGGAGGCTCTCAACCAGATAGTGTCGAACTCTCGCCTCGGGAGAGGACGTCGGGATTCAGATGTATCCCGTACTCCTTCTCGGAGGTCCGTTAGGACAGTGGACACCAGGGATTCCCGAGAATCAAGAAGGCGCAGATATCGTCCGCGGCGCGACGAAGATCGTGACCGGAGGAGGGACGATGCTCGAGATCGTCGTGATGATGAATCACGCGATCGGGAGCGAGATCGAAGGCGAGATGATCGCAGGAGATCCGAGAGAGATCGTGATAGGGACCGTGCGCGGGGCGGACGTGACCGGAGGAGACGTGACGATAGCCGGTAGGCTGAGTCACGAGGATTGCAGCCGGTAGGCTTGCGTCCATTCTCCAATGGTTGGCGCGGTGGGGAGGTGGTGATGTTCCTCCCGAACCGCTGAGGCGCGGAGATCGTGTCTCTCCCGTACCGCTGTTTGGCTGCTGGTCGTGCCCACCATGAAGTTGTGTGAGTGAGAGGGGAAGCAAACTAATGGGGGGATACTCCCGGGTTTGCGAAATTCAAGTATTTTGCAGGTGCGCATGGTCAGGCGTACCTCTTGCCGATAGGCGAGGGTAGTAATGAACATACGTTATCCTTTGTTTCATGGCTTCTGATAAGAATTGAACTACTTGCATTGTTGATGCAAACTGTTGTGGCCTAGTGCCGTCATGTGGGCTTTTCCACGAGGTATGTTGGACAGCGTTACCCCGATTAATTCGGGGTGGTGGCGGGATTTTAATGCCCGGGACGTCGCGCAACTGCCTTTGTGGGTTTGCTCCACCGCTGACGGCGGTAGTGTCCAGCTGTTTGCGGATACATGCGAGCAGTTAAATCCTATCAGTAAATGGCACGCTCCACCCGTCATATGACGGGCTCCTCGTGAGGGGGGTGTGATTAGCCATGTCTTAAACCATCACCAGGGATGTCGCGATAGTGACTGACCGGTGGTGTTTGGCTCAAGTTTGACGGGTTCCGTCGCGCCTCGAATGGGCGTCGCCGAGCCCCTGCGTCGACCGACGGCATCTCGGGGGAGAAAGAGACCTCGGGCCGCCGCCAGGTTGGTAGGGACCAGTCGTGCGGCCTGTTGTCGACCAAGGTTGCGGGTTAACCCTTTTCTTGTTTGGTTTGTTTCCTTTGGTTGTTGTTCTCTGGTGTGTGGGAAACCCTGATCTTTGGGACCGGGGATTGGTTTGCTTTTGGGGAACCTTTCTTTTGTGGCTTGTTTACCCCAACTTACCCATTGCCTGGGCACAGGCTCGTGCCCGAATCACATATATGTATCTCTCTCTCTCTCTCTCTCTCTCTCTCTCTCTCTCTCTCTTTCTCTCTCTCTCTCTCTCTCTTTTTATACTTATATATATATACACATATCTCCATATGGTTTTCATTGTTTTTGCGGGTTCCCTGTTCAGCGAAGCCAAAAGAAGAGCCGGAGCCATCTTTTCGTCCCCTATTTCGACACATACCAATTGGGGGCCCCGGAAAATCGTAAGTTTGCTTTTGGTTCCCCCTAATCATCAGGTAACTTAGTTGGTGCTTTGGGTTGGTGGATTTGGATTTGAACCCCTGGCTGTTGTTGAGGCTTGAGTTGGGAAACCGACCAAACCACCGAGCTCCACCGAGATCCACCGATTCCAAACCCATGGGAGGGAAGCTGAAATCAGGGCTCTTGGAGCGCGGCGGGACCCTCCAAGCGAGGCATAAAGGGCGCTTTTGTAGTTATTTTTTGGGAGGGCCTCGTTTTTTGGGGTGGGGTTGCGCCACCATTTCGCGGGTCCCCTCTTTTATGACATCCAAATGGACCAACGAGTCGCAGGCTCTGCACGTCTCCCGCCACGCCTTCATCGTGGGCCTGGTGCATATCTTCCAGACCTCCGCGCACTACTGCATCGCGCGGAGCCCGGAATGTGTTGTTCTTTGTTGATGCTAGGACCGTTTTTTTCCTAGACCCGGCAAGGGTTGGTTGGTTGGTTGGTTGGTTGGTTGGTTGGTTGGTTGGTTGGTTGGTTGGTTGGTTGGTTGGTTGGTTGGTTGGTTGGTTGGTTGGCCAGGTTCTGTTGGCCGCATCCCCAGCGCCGGCCTCGCTGGGACGTAGGGCTGCCTATTGGCTTTGATTTTCGTGGCAGTTGAGAGTTACTCGGGGCTGGTTTCGGGGGAGTGTTGGGCTTGCTGAGATCTTAATGAGGGCGCTGGTTGGGTTTGTTTTGGCACAGGACTGATATCCAGAATGCTGTTGGGTGAGTTTAAGGTTGACTTGGGGTTGGCTTGGGACTGATTTGTGCTAAGACCCGAGCTCAGCAGCAAGCCCACCACTCACCCGAAACCAGCCAAATGAAAGCCAGTAGGCAGCCCTGAGTCCGAGTGAGGCTGGTGATGCTGGGGATGCGGGCCTCCAACCCCCGTGGCCAGCCCACAGGTTCGGAGATAGTGGTTTAACCTGTTTTTTTTACAGCCAATGTGCCGAGGAGCAAAGGAATGCAGAACGAGTACCGAGAATGAGGGTCGAACAGAAACCGTGGATCCCAACATTAAACAATGTTTTGTTGAATTCCATATCACTGTGAGGCTGGTTGTGGTTACCAACTTACAATCCTGGGGGAGACCACTCAGTGTGTTTAGTGTTTGGTCCATGTGGGTGTGCCATTTTTTTTCCCAGTTGTGTAAACAGGCAGCCAAAGGAAGACAGGGTACCCTTGTGGAGTTTAAGAGGGGGAAGGGGCGCTCAGTAGGGAATGACCAGGGATTCACGCAAAGGAAACCACAGAAAAAATGGTTTGGTCATTCCCTTATTCCCTGCTGTTCAAAGGAAGCCAAAAAGGGAGGTATGTTGAATTCTGGCATAAAACCTTTGTGTAGGGATGCACCTTCCGGGATCCCATGGATCTCGATTTCCCTCACCCTCCTGTGGCCGTTTTTTGGGTTTTCCTTTAAGCCAAGGTGAAAAGTGTAGCCAAAAAAGATCAGAAGCACATCGGGCCCCAAACTGATTCGGTTGCTGCCTTTTGGTCTATGGGGTGTTTCGCCTTCTTGTTTCTCCTCTTGGTAATTGTCAAAAAACAGCCCTCCCCTCCAAAATACAAGCTTCGGCTTTCCTTTTGGTTTCCCAACCCTCACCCACAACGAAAGAAACAGAATCCCCGGCTAAATGAGCCACTTGCTCAAAGCCCGGGCTTGCCATAAATGGGTGCGAATCTCCGCTTTGGTGATTCTTGAAGCATGGTTCTGGGGATCGACCATCTTAATACCGATCGGTTTTGACTATGACCCCAGTGAGAATCAGACTTCACGATTTGCGGCGGCTAACTTTTGGCGTCCCTCCAACCAAAAGGGGTCTTAATACCAGGTTTTGATTGTGACTCCAATGCACCCCTCCTGGTTGGCCGATGTCATTGTTTCCCAAAGAACCCCCTTCAACCAGCGGGAATCGGAACCCCCATGATTTTGGCTTCCCTCCAACCAAAACGGGGGGGCTTAATACGGTCCCATCGTAGACCATTTTGAGAAACCCTCGCCCACGAGGACGAACCAAAAATCCATTATGTTGGCATCCCTCCAACCACTCCAACCAAATGGGGGTAAACAATACGGGACCATAGGGGACCAAAGAACCTCCGCTAGCAGTCGTTGGCGGGTTTCTCACCTCGAGGTCATGGAGCTCTGCTCGGAGAACCTCAACGTGCCTCAGCTGAAGCCACCCGAGGGAACGGGCAAAAAACGCCCCGGTGGGTGCGGAGTGAGCCCACGTTGACACCGCCCAGAAAGAAGACCCGAAACGCGTGGGAGGTGCTTTTTTTTTTCCCCCCCTTCCTCCTTTTTTCTTTTCTGTTTTTTTTTGGTTGTTGTGTGGCTTTCCATTTCTGCTCTTTGTGTTTAGGTTTTTTGAGGCTGTCATTGTTTTTGCCTGTATGTTGTGGTCTATTTCGAGCCGCTTTCATATTTGTCTCCTAGATTTGTTGCGTTTCTTGTTGTTTATTCTCAGACCCCCCCCATTTATTCACTGTCCGGTGGGGGAAGTTCCGCATCATCGATGTTTTCATATTTTGGTCAATGAGTGAGTTTCAGGGGCCTTTTGGGACGCATGTGTCGTGTGCCTGAGACGTCCGCAACGGCCCGTTGAACTCGTGGAATCCAATGGGTGAACAATTCGGATGCGAGCGGAGCCTGAGCCACCAGAAAGCTCTCGCGAAAGCCGCGAAAACCACCACCCACAGGCCATGGGGCGGCCCCCCCTCCCCCCAAAGAGCTGAGGGCAGGGCTCTTTACATTTGGGGCACCGCTTTTGGATGATTTGGGGATGGTTGGAAAGGACACCAACATTTGGGTTCATTTTGTGTGTGTAAAAAACATATTTCTGGATATCAAAAGGACACTAACATTCAAATTTGTAACCCATCAATCCACATTCATCTGAAACCATGATCAATCCAACAACCTTCGTAATCGGAACCCGGCCTCTTTCTTTTGTTTTCTTTGGGGGGGGGAGAGAACGCGAAAACGGGCGGTTGCTTTGCGGTCCCCATTTTTCTATGGTTGGCTTCAAGGGGAAAACCAAAAAAGGGCGGTTGCTTTGAGGGTATCCTTTTGTCAAATTTGGCCTAAAGGGGAAAACCAAAAGGACCACCACCATTTTTTGGGGGGAGGGGACACCAAACTGGGCAGTTGCTTTTTTGCGGGTCCCCGTTTTTTACAGGTCGGCTTCAAGGAAACACCCACAGGACCGCGCCGCTTCCTTGGCTCCGCGTCGTTTTGGTTCGAGGCGCGGATCCTCCACGCGCCCGGGTCCGGCCTGGCGGGGAATTTGTGCGCGCGCTACACCGCCTGCGTGGCCTTGGCCCTGGAGTACCTCCACAACCAGGCGAGTCGAGCCGAGTGGAAGACAAAAGCTGCGCGGGGTTTCAGGCAAACACGTCGAGTCCGAGTCAAACAGAAAAGGTGTGAGGGGTTGATTTGGCGGTTTGGGTAGGTTGGGTAGGTGGGTAGGGTAGGTGGTAGGGTGGGTTGGGTAGGGTAGGTGGGTAGGGCGGGTTGGTTGTATGAGTTGGTTGGTGGGCGAGTAGAGTCGAAAACCAGTCCGGCGGGGTTGATTCGGGGGGTTTGCGCGGGGTTTGCGGCGTCTGGCTTGTGAGGGCACCTTTTTTTTGGTTGGGTAGGTTGAGTTGGTAGGTTGGCGAAAAAGACGAGTCGAACACAAAAGTGCGGCGGGGTTTTGTTTCGGCCTTTTGGGTAGGTTGGGTAGGTGGAGGGGGTAGGGGTGGGTGGTGGGGTTGATTCGGCGCTTGGGTAGGTTGGGCAGGTGGGTAGGTGGTAGGGTAGGTTGCTTGTATGCGTTGGTTGGCGAGTCGAGCCCAAAAACCAGTCCGGCGGGGTTGATTCGGGGGGTTTGGGCGGGGTTTGGGGCGTATCCTGTTTTGGGTGGTGGGTTGAGTTGGTAGGTTGGTTTGGTTGGTTGGTTGGTTGGTTGGTTGGTTGGTTGGTTGGTTGGTTGGTTGGTTGGTTGGTTGGTTGGGTGGGTGGGTGGGTGGGTGGGTGGGTGGGTGGGTGGGTGGGTGGGTTGGGTAGGTAGGTAGGTGGGTGGGTTGGTTGGTTAGTTGGTATGCTGGTATGTTGGTATGTTGGTTGGTTGGTTGGTTGGTTGGTTGGTTGGTTGGTTGGTTGGTTGGTTGGTTGGTTGGTTGGCTGGTTGGTTGGTTGGGTGGGTGGGTGGGTGGGTGGGTGGGTGGGTTGGGTTGGTTGGGTTGGGTTGGTTGCCTTTTAAGGGTGCCCTATTTTGAGACAACCCCACATCGAAACGAGCGACGCGCTTCTTTATCTAAGAAGCTTGTTTAAATTCTTATCGGGTTTTTCTTAGGTTTTGTGTTTTGTACTTGTTCATCGGACTCGAGTTTCGCTTTAGGTGGACTTCCCTGGGTTGCGCTTCTTGATAGGCTTTTCCTTGAGCGGTCAGGAGAGACTGAGTTGGAGGCAAGGCCAGGAAGGTCCTGCCACCCTTCCCGAGAAACAAAAAGAACGGCGTCGCAGCGGGACCTCTACTAGGTCCCCCACACCCTACTAAAATAGACTACAGAAAACAGGGTACCCTTATTCTAACCTCTCCACTGGAGGACCTAGCCTACAAGAAGCAGGTGTTCAAATCCAAATCCAAACCGGTCCTTAAGCGGTTCAAAGCGCATCTCTTTCCGCATTCAGGCAACGGCTCAGGCGTTTTGCGGGCAATGAGTTGTTCAGCTTTGGACTGGCGAGTGTGGATGGATCAGTGCTGGGCACTCGGGCAGTTGGCGACATGATTGTTTGGCTTGCAGGGAGAGCCCCATCCATGGACCATGGCCCTAACAATTCGCAGGACGCCTTTGAAGTGGGATGTCGCTAGTGCCGGGTTTATGATGATTTTGACAGTCGCCTGTGTCAAAGTGCCAGTGACCGCTGGGCTGACCAGTACGACCTGTCCCATCTCCAAGTGACACAAGCACCCAGTTCGAGCCATACTTGTGTCCATCCCCAGGAAATCGGGCGCATTCTGAGATGTATCCAAGCAGCATTCAACCTGATGCAGGGTGACCTGTGGTTCAAATGGCTGTGGGTCAAAACCAATGATACCATTGTGGGGTAGGTGCACCACCCATTTTGGTCTTTTTTAGTGGGGATGGGGATGTTCACTGGGGGTACGATTTGGATTTTGACCCATGGCCAAATGGGTTCCCACATGGACACATCTGGTCGAGAGGAGATCGTGTTCCGAGACCTGAAGCCGGAGAACGTGCTGGTGTCCTGGCGGTCCATGAGCCACGGTCCATTCGCCAAAGATCTGAGGAAATGACATGGGTCACCAAACTAGAAAATAAGGGCTCGCCCAAATCCAGCTGGACTCACTTGATAACAGTGATGAGAACATGCTTTTTCTTTGAACGGCCATTCTTCCTTTGACAATGTACCCCATTTTTGCTTGGGGGGAACTGTTTGGGGGAATGCTGACCAACTGTGAAGTGATGTCCATGTCAATGATGTCCATGACCAATGGGACATACATCCCGATGTAAATCATGTCCACCAGAGTGTCCAACCTCAAAATCACACCCAACTTCCGCACACCGGACTGTTTTTCCCAACTAACCACTCTTATTGTTCTTTTTCTTCCGTTTTTTTTTTTTTTGGGGGGGGGGGGTTTAAAACAAGAAACCCAATGCTCTAGGGGTACCTGCCCCATTCTTTCCAGGGATCCTTCTTTCCAGGAAATCAACAAAAACGCAGGGGAAACAGCTGGTTTTTGAAAAGAACGATGGTTGAACAGAATGGGGAATCAACCCCTCGAAATGCTGGAAACCACCAATGCCCCCCCCCCCCCAAAAAAAAAACCAAAAACGCAGCACCAGATCGCCGGGGAAGTGAAGAACGACGGCGGCGTGGCGAAGCTCGCGGACTTCGGCTTGGCCTGCCCCATGCACCTGGAGGACATCGATCTGACTCGGGAATCCATGGCTGGATCCGGGCATGGCGTGTTGTTCTTTTCTTTTTTTGGGTGGCGGTGGAGCCCCTGAAATGATGTCGCTTTTCTCGTTCTTTTTTTTAGCCCCTGAAATCTTTGTTGCATGTTGCTCGGATATTAGGGCTTTTTGCCAACTAATGGGTTTCCGAATTAAACCACTAAAAGTTATACTTTTAGCCGGGGAGCAGAAAGCAACCGAGAAATGGTGGAAAACCACGAAACAGGGGAGGGATTGGATGAACTTGGGTGCTTTGGAGACAAACAAAAAAATGGCTTGCCTGGCTTGATGGCTCGGTGACAATGCCGACTCCTAGTTCAGTCCTTGACCTTGGCACATGGGGATTGATCAAAAGGTCTGGCAAACATGAGAGGACCATTGGTTGGAAACCGCTAACAGCATGAAATCCAAACACATGGTTGCCCTAAACACCATTGGGGTTCCATATTCGGAGAACCCAGAGTCATGGTCAAGACATGGGGGTTCATCCCAAGCCCTGGTATGATTCATCTATATCCGTGTGGGAAAAGGGCGCCTGTTTTTCGTTTATCCCCTAGAATGCTGCATTTTCCTACCACAAAGGGGCACCATCAAAAGAAGACAGGCCCGAATGCGGGTTGATCCATATTCCGTGAGGAGGCCCCCAAGTTTTGACCCTGGCTAGCTTTTCCCATGTGGGAACATCGAATCTTTCTAGTGACTCTCGGTGGTCATCTCATGTTGACCGGGCCTTGGCATCAACCCCCAATCGAATCTCCAACTTGTCCTCTGGTGGTTGAGATGAACTTGGGGGCCAGATGAGTTTCTCTTGTGATTGTTCTAAGGCAAAATTTAGGTGGGAACGGGGGAGTGGGACAGGGAACAGGAACGGGCTGGGGGTGTCTTGGTTTTGGCGCACGGATTTCAGCGGCCAAAACCTCCTGGGAGGGGGGCACGTTTTGGTGTCATTTTTGGTCACTTTGAACAAAAACCACTGAACTCAACTGCTTTCAGTTTGGTTCTGTTGCATTTACTGGACTACTGGAATCCCTGAACTTGTCCCACAGGCAGAAGCTCCCGCCTTTTTTCCCCTCTCCTCGGCGTGTACCTTTTTTTTTGGTTGTTTTGAGGGAAACACGGGTAGTTGAAGGTTAGTAGGGGACCGTCCCAGCTACAAATAGGTGCGGCAAGAAGCCCTTTTGATGCTTTACATGGATTTTAGCGCCACCCGCTTGAATTATGGGTTTTGAATATGATCTACTTTGTAGTGAGAGGGCAACACTTACCTCCTCCCTGAAGACTGTCGCTGTCTTGAAATCCCTTTTTTAAAAGAATGGTTTGTGAACGAATGCAATTCAGACATTTCTTTTGTTGGTTTGTGCAACGCGCTCCTTTTCTGTCGTTCTGCCTGACTACGTGTCTCCTTAGGCTGAAGCCTAGTCGTTCGTGTTCACCAGCCCCCAAAAGTGCAAGCTCTTGTTCGCGGCGTAAAGCACCGCACCCGATGCTTGCCATGGTCTGAAAGAACCGCCTACGCTGAAGGACGACACCTAACCTTTCTGCCGATGGCAGCCCAGTTGTTTTTCCCTTTCCGATGGACCCTAGCTGGGTTTTTTTGGGAACCCCTATAGAAAGCTGCACATTTCTTGTGGTTCCCGTGTGTTTTCACCGCAGTGGGTACCCTGGATGGTTTGCTCGTCCCGTGGGCTTCCGATTATGGAGTATTTGAGACGTTGGTTCCTGAGAAGCGTATGGAAACCACAAGACACACGAGAGCCATGACCCGTGCAGTTTTCACCATTTTCCTCTTCAGGAACCGGACTGGGGGGGCCGGTTTTTGGGGTCTCCTAGGAGCTCTGTGTCACGGGTGTCGTGCGCCACTGAGCTCAGTGGCGCCACGGGCAGTGACCTTTGGAATCCGTGCACCCCCAAGCCCTGGCAAGATTTGCTTTGCCTCCTTGATAAAAATGGGTGTCTCATTTTTTTGGGGGGGACCCTCCAAACGGGTGGTTTTCCGCTTGGTTCCCCTTTCAAGCCAGAAAACACAACAATCGTACCTTTAAAAAGGAGACACCCACATGGTCACCACGGCCATTGCCCTTACTTTGGACGACATGGCCATGGGAGTTTCCTGAAGTTCAAAGTGTCCGGCTTGGAAGCCCCGCGCGGCGAGCGGCGGTTTCCTTTGGGCCCCCGACGGTTTCGGTCCGCCAGGACGGGGCCACGCCGGTCAACAAAGCCCCGACCACCGGCCTGAACATCTTCGATTGCGGGTTTCCGACGCCGGACGCAGGCGGGAGATGCTCCCAGTGCGGGCAGCCTGGGAGCAGACCACTTGCCCCTGATTTCGATTTCTAAGCATATGCGCCTGTTGCGCTGGCCCGCGCTTTATCACAAGTGTTGTCGTTTCAGCTTGGTGTTCCACTGATCTGGTAGCCTGAGCTTCCAGGGAGGGGGGGGGGGGTGGGGGGAAAAGCACACACGTCGGGCTGATTGCAAGCAATGTCTGCTTGCATGACATGCAGTCATGCATACATTGTGACTGTATCTCTGTGATTGGGTCCTAAATCAGCAGGGCGCAGCGGATCACAGTGTCATCCGCTTGATATCCCTCCACAGAAATTTGGTTGATTTGACAGGCCGCCGCAAGAGATTCTGGAAATTGGGATTTGCGCAGAGGTTTCTTATTGGGAACGTTTCGGGAAATAGGATGTGAGGATGGTAAAGGAGCATTCCGCTTTGCAGTTGGATCCATTCACCATAGCAGCTTTTGTAGATGAGAGTCTCTTTTTGTGGGGGACATCTATGTTTCAGATCTATTGTGAGCTGAGATTGACATGGAGCCTCAAAGAGGGTCCCTAAAAGAAGACTCTTCTCAACATGGCGGTTGTTTGGGTTCTAGTTTGTGAGCCGATTGAAAACGTAAAACTAAGTTTTATTACTGCATTCTTGCAGGCTATCAGTTCAGCACCAAGCACCAAGCACTACAGGTACACCAGCCTTTCTACAGCAAATGTGCATACTACATACACGTGTATCCATACGTATCCTTATATTCATGTATACGTGGGTGTATCTACAAGCACAAAAAAGAATACACGTATGCACGTGTAGAAATATGTGGCCTGTCTCTTTGTACACTTGACATTGGCTGGAGGGTGGCAACTCCTCTCGCAGAGCGAGAGGCTGCGGTAGCCGTGGCAAATCTGTAGAATTGTTGTTCTTCTTCTTCGAATCAAGTTGAACGCCTTCACCAAGCCGGTCATTTCCTATATTGGTACTACCTAATTCAGTTTGCTTCCGCTTTGTCTCACAACTCTATGCGCCAAACAGGAAGCGGCAGAATTGCCACATTGGTGGCTGAAAGCACGGATTATCTAGGATGAAAACAGGCTTCGAAGGGGCCCTTTGGCTCGCCTGCTTATCAACCCCTGCTTTTGTTTTTGCCGGCCCTATCTTTTGGCATTTTTACGTTCAGTCCATTCGAATGGACTTCACACCCAATCAGCAAAGCAGCAACATCATTTTTATTTGGGGTGTCTCAAGCAAACAGCACTCTGCATTGATTTTTGCCCATCCTTGTATGTGTGTGTGTGTGTGTGAAAAGTCAACTTGCACGCAATTCATGCAGGGTGTGTGTGCCATTGTCCAACACAGTGGCCACAGCAAGTGCGGCCATCGAGGCGGATGACCTCGACGTAGCTGCGAGAACCAATTCGCATGAACAAAGTTCCATTTGCTCACCTCATGCTTGGCCGTTGAAGGCTTATATGGCTGTGGGTCAAAAATAGGTACCCAAAGTGGAACCCTGGTAAGTGGCAACATGCACCAAAACCTGTGGTCCCCTGGTGGTGTAATTTTGACCCACACCGCCCACACCCAAATAAGTGGTATTCCCTGTGTGTGTGTGTGTGTGTTTTCAACAACGGAGCCGGCATTGCTTGCCTCAAAAGATCATTTGAGCAGCGCCGAACCGCCCCACAGGCCATGTTAGTATGTACTACCTGGTTTAAGAAGGATTGTAGGACAATAAACATCCGCATAGTTCTCTTGGTAGAACCACCCAGAATGGCTCAACATAGCACGGGTTTATCCGCAAATGTGCCTAAATGGGGTCAATACCCAGCGGGTGTATTCCCAGGGTGTAATACAAAACTTCTTAGAGCTGGGGTTTTGGTCGCCCATTTTGCCGCCCCATGGCCAACTGATTTGGCTGGTCAAAACCAATAGGATCCCATTTTGGGGTAGGTGATTTCGCCCATCTCAAAAAGCCTATTTTAGTGGTTGGCAGTGTGGGGGCCGGCCGAAAATCGGTCCAGCACGCTTCGAGAGCTCGAGGCACGCCGGCCTTCATGGCCGCGGAGGTCTTTCTGCGCTGCGCCACTCCGGTGGATCTGTCGGAGGTGGAGGCGAGACTCCGCGCGCTCCGGAGACGGGGTGGTGAGTGGTTTGGGTGAGAGGGGAGTTGCCTTCGCGGTTCCTTTTTTGGACCGCAAAGTGCACTTAAACCCAGGGGTGGTTGATTTCCCGGGTTTTAGTCTACCTTGGGGAGTCGAAAAACGGAAATCTGGTTGCCGTGAGATCTTAACATAGCTCCCCCCCCCCAACTGGTTGTTTTCCATTCGGTTTCCCTGCGCACATCCAAAAGCTTCCAAAACAAATGGACCCAGCCAGGATTCAGATCCCCTTCTCCCTCCCCGAGTTTCTCGACTTTATTTTTTTTTTTTGGGGGGGGGAGGGCAAAACGTTCATCTGTCTTGGACCTGGTCCAGTCGGGAATGGGCCTTTGCAACTCCCCTCCCAAAAAGAAGAACCACTGGGTATAAGTCAAAATTCAACCACCAGCATAGACCGCAGGTTTTAGTCCTCATTTCTACTTCCCAGGGCAAGCCATTTCGGGGTTACCCTATTTTGGACCCACAGGCACGGAGCGCGCGGGCGCAGCGCGCAGCCTCCCGGGACTGGTTCGCGCTGGGCTGCTGCCGCTGTGTCCAGAGTTGGTTGGTCCGTTTTGGTTTTGGAAGCCAGCGCCAGGGTTTCGTCGTTTGGCTCTTCGTTAATGCTGACCCAGGATTAATAAACCCGTCCCATTATTAGGGGGGTGAAAACCCCTCCAAAAGTGGTCTGACTCCCCACTAAAAGGAATTGGACACCCCCCAATCAAAATCAACCAGGGGTTCTACTTAGATCCGGGGCTACCATTAGAGAGGCTTTGCTCTGAGGCTGAGGTGTCACTCCTTTGTCTACCTTCCCTTTTGGAGAGAATCCTTCGCCCAGAAGGGCGCTTATGTCAAAGGCTCCTTGCACAGAGCCCATGAATCATGTGTGCTTCCGAGAACTGACTGTATTGGTTATAACCCATACATGGGCCATTTGCGGTAATCTTCAACTGTTTGAAGAGGTGAGTCTTTGATTTCCAAGGTTTTCATATGGCTTCTTTCCAGTGAGACCGCCACATTTGTGCAATAGATCTGGCGAGCATGGTGCCTACCAAGAGGGACAAAGAAGGAGGAGCACAGCATGCCGTCCTACTGTGGATAAACGAAATCCTGCACTACTTTGAAAACATGGGGAAACCGCTTCTTGTTGGCATTTACAGAGGTTTCTTAGGTGGTGCAGGATGTCATCCATCCACAGTGTGGGCACGTTTGACTAGACTTCAATAGCCTGGGTACATTGGGTCCTTTGAAGGATACATGTGGAGAGGAGTGGTCTTGAACGTGTGCAACGATTCTGTGGGATGAAATGCGGGTCCGTTTTTCTTTTGAAGGCAGCTTTTTGCAGTCAAGTCGCCTTGCCTTGCAAGGGGGATGCCTTCTTTGAATTCTTTTTTGCCCCTTCAAACAAGGAGTCAAGGGCTCATCTGCGTCCGAAATTGGGATGGGCTCAATCGCATTTTTGGAGCCGCCCAGTGCATCTCTTTGTTTCCGGGTCCCTGGTTTCGGGGACAGGTCGAAATCGATTCGGTCGAAAAGTCGATGTCGTCCATACACACTGTTTTTTGACAAGCCGTCCATGTCCAGATGTAGATGATCACACAAAAAAAACAGTAGCAGTAGCAGTAGCAGTAGAAGCAGCAGTAGCAGTAGCAGCAGCAGTAGCAGTAGCAGTAGCAGTAGCAGTAGTAGTGACAGTAGCAGTAGTAGTAGTGGCAGCAGCAGTAGTAGTAGCAGTAGTAGTGGCAGTAGTACTGTAGTGGTAGTGGTAGTGGTAGTAGTACGGGGGGCCGGCCTCCATCTGACCGCTCTACTTGCTGGTGCGATAGGTCGGGAATGACCTTCCGGGTGTTGGGAATGAACCGGATCCGGGGATTCCCTTTAGGGACACCAAATCTGGGATGGATCTTTTTCTCGGATGGTCCTGTGGATGGACCAAATCCATTTCGCACCACGAAATGAAACCATGGTTGAACTCACTGTTTGTTGGTACTTTTTTGGGGAAGTCATTAGAAATCAGGGTTTCTTAGGTGGTGCGAAATGGATTAACCATCCACAGCATGAAACATAGGGCAAGCCACCAATCAACTGGTATGGATGAGCTAGGGCTTCCCTTAAAAGAAGCCAATTGGCACTTTTTTTGGGAGGTCATCAGAAACCAGGGTTTCTCTTCGGTGCAGGATCTCGTCCATCCACAAGCAAAGCATAGTTTAGTTATAAACTATGCTATATTAAATTAATAGTCTAGCCCCATACTACGTGTTGTCTCACCACCTAAATAAGCACGCTCGGGCGGTTTCGCGGATGCCATGCCATTGCCTCCTTGGTCCGCATGCACCCGTCAACTGCAATAGTAGCTGAGAGGGATGGTTTTCCTTGGGGGGGTTCCCTTT